TAAGTGATATTACAATAGCAGAACGCTTTTTGGTGATATGTAGAATCATATATAACATATTTGCCATCAGTCTGTAGAACCATTTCGTAATGCGAAGAACCATTTAAGCAGGCAAATGCTTAATCGCTTAATTGAAGAACCCTTGAAGAACCATGTTAACCTTTCCAAAACCAAGCAGGGCCACCCATGTCAATGAGTACTGTTATTATCTTTAAGACCACTCTTCTCTTCTCTTCTCTTCTCTTCTCTTCTCTTCTCTTCTCTTCTCTTCTCACACAGGCTTTTGAATTTGTAAGGTTACTAAAAATGGCATTGCCCATGCAAGCTAGCTAATTTTTAATCAGAATGTCTAAATTCCTCCAGTCTACCTGGGTCTAATTTCATTATTAGGATATTCATAACTACATTTTAAACAACATAAACAGAAAAGGAGTCTAGAGTTAGAAAGTCTAATATTGCCAACAATATTTCAACACGTCAATATGTCAACAATTTTGTTGACAGCCAAATTTAATTACCAGTCTTTCAGCAGTTTCAGTGTGAGAGATGTAAACAGAGTGATTCAGAGTGGTTTGGTGTGAAATGGTTCAGATTTCTTTACAGTGGTGGTGATAGGAGCCAGGGGTCGCCATGACTACAACACAAATATGGTCATTTTCTTTACTATCCAAAACCACCAGTGAACCTACATGTGTCTTCTGAGTTTTGTATGAAATGTTGATGCTGGGAAAATAGTGGAACATCTTAAATCATGTTTTTTCTTTGGGGACTATTTTGTTTTATAGCACCCTGCATATTATCACAGATGCTGCAGCATGCAAAATGAATCCACTTTTTCTAAAATCTAATTCTTTTTTTGAAAATGTTGTGTCCGAACATGTTAAGAGACAGAGCACAACTGGTCTGGCAGCAGAATTGGAAACCCTCTTTGATGGGATTAAGATAATACGCCACTCGCTTTGTAATTAAAGTAATGAGTGTAATGAGAATAATGTCCTAAGATACTGGGCAGGCTGACAGCAGTCTGACCAAAAATAGCGGGGTTGTTTCCCCTGGGGAGCACAAACATATTCACACATGTAGAATATGAATAACAGATGTGATCTGCTGTGTTCTGTCTGCGGTTATTGATGAACACTGTAAAAGCACAGAAATACAAACTTCTCTCAGGTGTAAGATCAGCACTGACGAATGACACATTTAAACATTACTGAAAGTGAGAAAGTAAATAGTGTTTGTGTTAGAGCTGAAGTCTGTTTAATTATCCAGATCCCAGATGTTTTTGTGGGTTTAATGTACCAAGTTCATTTTTCCAACTGGTTATTTTGTTTGTGCTTTTAAGACTTGCTTTTAGACACACTAATTGCATGTAGTGGGTTTCATGCAACATAATTTCTATGCAAATTGACAGTTGCATGAAACAATTCAACAGCAAACAAAGTTGCATGCAACTCATTCTGTTAGCAGCTGGTGTTTTTTAATCCATTACACTGTTTTCACAATATAAAGTCCACAGTGAGGTGCAATATGCATATTTGCAGCGTTTTTATCAAATTATATTTTTCCAGCTGCCATTGCTGTTTATTTGTTCTAGGTCTGTCTGTCTGCTCTGTCTGTCTGTCTGTCTGCTCTGTCTGTCTGTCTGTCTGTCTGTCTATCTATCTTGAGTTCTGTACAGAAACAACATGAAATTACTTCATCTGATGGCTGGTGGGGTTTAAGCTTTTGTTAGTCTGTTAGCCACATTAGTCTTGTAGCTCCAGTGTTAAAACTGAAGAAGCAAACTTCAGACACCAAACACGTCTCAGCTGATTGAGTAGATTTGGGATGATATAAGAAGGGAAACTAGAGGGAATTTGTCATACTTTCACTTCAATGTGAGCAGTCACTCAGGGGCCAGAGCTGCTACTTCAAAGGATTCGTTATGAGCGATCAAAGGTCGGCATTGGTTATGATGTGACTGGATGATGTGATATTAGATATTCCAGAGAGACGGAGTTAAATATCCATCCATACATCATTCAGCAGAGCAGAGGGACTGAGAGAGAGAGAGGAGAGAGAGAGAGAGAGACCTGGGCTAAACAATCAAGATCAACAGGGTCTTTTTCTGCCACTAACATAACATTTTTAATAATTTTCAATATAATAGCTTTTAGGGAGCTCTTAGAGGTGGACGTCTGGTTCCAATCACCATGACTGTGAACAGTTTTGACTCTAGTTTCTCGAATTGTGCAGAAATGTTTAAAAAATTGGTGGACTTCCCCTGAAACACTGTGAATGTTATATTATATTGTTATGTAGATAGTGTAAGAACATGCAAGTAAAAACTGATGTTTATCTCTGTTTTAAATGCGGGATCACAGCATTTGATTGTTTGGCAGTGATATCAATATTTTTGGCAGCACACTGTAAAGTACAGGGACTCTCAGAGCCACTGGTCTGTTTATATGGGAATGCCACTGGCCTCTATCTCTGTTCACCATGGTTATAATAAAAATATTTATGTTACGTGCTGCCATGCGTTGATTTTGCGTCTGGAGATAAATGATGATTAGCAGTTGGTGAGAAGGGGACGTGAACTCAGCATAGCTTAGCTTAGCTGGACCTCAGCTAGCAGTCTGGACAGCATTAGTGACATTTCTTGGCAGTAACCAAAGACATTCTGTATGTAAACACACTGCGTTTTTTAGCCACAGTCTTTATAAGGGACGACAGAGTCCAGCACTAACGTCCAGCACCATAATAGGCTTCAAATACACTGACTTGTAATAACAGGCCCCCAATCACATGCTGTACAGCAGAGCTGAACAGGAAGTTTTCAGCAGAAATTCAGTTCAGATCAAAATCGCAGCCTGGCTGCTCCACCAAATCAAAACACAGCACTTTCACTATTAATGTGCAAGAGCATCATAACCCTTCAGCATGCACACAGTCAATTATTTGAGGGTTCCTGCTAATATAATCACTCCAAACAACATTGATTGTCTTTATGTTCAAAAAATGGTAGTTAATTTTAATGCACCAGTAGTGCTGTTTTATTTTTGCAACCACAAAAATAAAAAAAAAAGTTGTCAAGTATAAAAATAAATAGAAGCTAGTATCCACCAGTTAGCATGATGTCATTTGCTGGATGCTAATTGTTGGCTACAGGATGCTAGCTTGTATAAATGGAAGCGTGTCCACCAGTTAGCATGTCAGTGACTAGATCCTAATGACAATATGATGCTTACTGCTGAGAATAGCTACCATAGATGGAAGCTATCCACCAGTTAGCAAGATGTCATTTGCTTGAAGCTAATTGGAAGCTTCATGATGCTAACTGGTGACTTTTGGTTTTTTGTGAATAGAAACTAGAAGCTAATGCCATTTGCCTGATTATAACCAGTGACATGATGCTAATTAGCAACTATTATTTTCCATTAATGGAAGCCAGTATCCACCTGTTAGCATGATGTCTTTGCTTGATGCTAATTGGTTGTTACATTATGCTAACTGGTGACTATACTTCCATGAAAAGAAGTGTTTTATCAGTTAGCATGATGTCATTTGCTTGTTTTTGGTAGCTGGTCTTGCCTTTTCTAGCACGTATGAGCAAAAGTTCGCTAGTGTCCACCAGTTAGCATGGGATCATTTGTGTAATGCTAACTGATGACTAAAAGCTTATATGAAAAGAAGCTAGTGTGCAAACGTTAACATGATGTCATTTGCTTGATGCTAAATGGTGGCTATAAATGCTAACTGGTGACTATTAGCTTCAGTGAATGGAAGCTTGTATCCACCAGCATGGTGTCATTTGCTTGATCATAATTGGTGGCCACATGATGCTAAAAGGTGACTTTTAGTTGCAAGGCAAAGCACATACTGCTGTCATTCATAGTGCTTTACAAATGAGAAAATCCAGAAAAAAGTAAAGTAAAGAAGAATAGAAATTAAAAACATGATTAAACATTGTTAAAACAATAGATTTAAAAGAAAACAATCATTAAATTAACAATCTAATTATAAATTAATTTTGGATATTTCAAAATCAAATTAAAAATCAAAAATTTAAAGTTAAATTAGGTAAAAAAAAGTGTGGTTGCACAGGACACATGAATGTGTTTTAAGTTGGGTTGCTGAAATTTTAAGCAGAATATAAGTGACATGAATGATTACAATACTTGCAATTATTTTTTTACATTTGATTTTTTTGATGTGTCATACTGCATTAAAATGAGGCAAGAGATGACAATATACACACATAAGTGACACATCAAACCACTGATGCACCACATCACCCTGCTCTCTCATTCTGTCAAAAAGTCAAAGAGTCGACTCCAAGCAATCGACTCTTAGAGCCACTGGCCATACTTTCAAACATGTTGGAGTCGAAAAATTGATTGTTTGTGAATCAACTTCTCATGACTACCCCAAAGTGGCCATTGGTTGGTGAGGGAAGCGATTCAACTTGCTGTAATGAAAACACATTGTTAAACTAAAAAGTGCAGCTAATACAGGTTATAATATATAAATAAATTTTAAAAATATGAATAGAAGTATATCTATTAGCACATGTACATAAGCATCTAAGACATGCAAATGCTGTGTTATGTGCTTATCACTGCTGTCGGAACAAAACATTGCATCTCCAAAATGAGAACTTTATAGGAGAAGGAAAAAACGCACTTTACTTTTAATGTGAGCCAATGGAACCAGATTTTTTTCCAAGCCATTTTTGGTCATTTCATTTGGTCCATTCATCTTGAAATTTACACACAATGTAAAGAGTATCAGGCATTTTCAAATTATGTCAAAAACTGAAAACGGCAGTGATATGTATGTTTATATGCTTGTGTATATATGTGTACGCTTATGCTGTTGGAAGCTAACGCTAACTGGTTTCTTTGCTTTCATTCACTGTTAGCAGCTGAACTGTCGCTTTAAGCTGCCGTTGCCCGTCTCAGAGCCCCCTCAGATTCCCCCACTGCTTCACTGAAGTGGGCGGGCTGGAGCTGCAATATTATCTCCGGTGTTTTTGGTGCACAATGTGACAGAAGCTGCTGCGCTAGAGTCAGACTGAGTCTAATACAGCCTGACTGAGGCTTTTTCACTGCTTTTAGGACCAGTTTTATACATTCATAACAGGAACCTGTTAAAGCAGCCATGGGGAAAGTAGAAGGTGGAATGAAATGTGTGAAATACCTGCTCTTCATATTCAACTTCATATTCTGGGTGAGTGGTGCCTTTATTCTAAATGCCTATATGGAATGTATGAACTGATTAAAGGTACCATTAAAGGGTCCATGCTGGTTCCTGCGTTTGTGCATGCTGTTGATGTTGACTTGGTGCGGTTTTATGGACTGTAATGTTTTGTTTAATGCAGAGATGAAGGCAGATTTGGCTGATATAGAGAAAACAAAGCTCCTTTTTCTCGGTGCGGGTCTGTTTATCACAGCGGAGCGTGGAAAGGCTGACAGGGGCAGGCCCCAAATCACATTTTCCATGAAGGAAAAAACCCGCCGCCCCTTTCCTCCTGCGGTGTGTGTATGTGTGTGTGTGTGTGTAATGGGCATGGAGCTGGAACAAGAGCTTCAGAGCAAAACACACTACTTTACTGTTCAGCCCTGTTAAAACTATATGAGCCTGGAGCACGTTTAAAGGGCTCATAGCATGGAAATCCTTTTTTTAGCCACATTTTGTAATATAACAGTTTCGTGTAGCATGTAAATAGTGTTAAAGTTTAAAAAACATGCTGTTCACTCCCTTATGCCGTGTTTTTTTTGTGATGTCACAAAAAACACGTACACATATGCCCACCCATTCAGCTTAGTGTAGCTTAGCCCTGCCCACACACATTGAAGTTATACGGAGTGTTTTTGCCCACACTGCTGTCTGAATGAGGCACAGCCAATCAGAACTGAGCTCATTTACATATTATTGTCTGACCAGAACAGACTTTTTAATTCTAATAATAATAGGAGGTTGGAAAACGGTCATGTTTAAATCGATTATGGCTGTTTTTGCTACATAAAACCACACAAATGTCATAAATGAACCTAGTCTTAAATTAAATTGTAAAGTAATTTGCGAAGAAAAGCGAAATAGTCCCCGAAGAAAATGTATTACTTCAGATTTTCCACTATTTTCCCAGCATTAACATTCCATATAAAACTCAGAAGACACATGTAAGTTGACTGGTGGTTTTGGATAGTAAATAAAATGTCTATATTTGTGTTGTAGTCATGGTGACCCCTGGTTCCTATCACCACCACTGTAAAGTAATCTGAACCGTTTCACACCAAACCACCCTAAATCACTCTGTTCACATCTCACACACTGAATTATATGGGAATTTTGGGAAATGAATAGAATTTCTCTTATCAACCACAAAAGAGATTTTAATTGATAATTGATTTCTTCAGTTCTGATTGTTAATTTTATGGCTCTTTCTGAAAGAAAGTGAGTGGCTTTCTTGCAGCTGTCGTGCTGAGTGTCTCTCAGTTGTGCTGTCAGGTGTTTGTGAAAGCTGTGTCTGATAACAGAGGCCTATGTTTTAAATTACAACTGACTTTTCAGGTTATGACTGTTTTGGTCTGTTTTGTGTTCTGATGTGTTAAGGTCATTAGAACACAGCACTTATCTGATAGAGCGTGTGTGTAATTAAATTTTCCATTCTAAGATCAGGAATCGATTCCGTTTCCAGTATGTTCTGTATTAAAATGTTTTAGACTCTACAAAGGTAATAATTCTGTGCTACAGGTTGGTTTGTCCCAGATAAATGAAGGTTCTCCATTAGAACTGTTCCAGCTCCTGCTGCTCCCTCTAACAAAACAAACCCCAAATATCACAACCTCTACTGTTTATAATTTTTTCCTCACCATGATAGGATATACTCAGATACATGAAACCCACCCCAACCCTTCCACTGTATTCTGATAGGCTGCACTCAAATGCAAAAGCCCCATCCATTTCTGCCCAATTCACTCTTAAAGGCTGTGTCAAGATGCCTAAGTCCCGCCCCTGTCTGCCCACTTCACTCTAATAGGCTACGTCCAGGGCGCATAAGCCCAGCTACTTCATTCTAATAGGCTGCATCCACACACATAAGCCCCACCCATCTACACCCACTTCATTCTAATAGGCTGAATCCACACAAAAGCTCCACCTGTCTCTGCCCACTTCCTTCTAAAAGGCTGCATCCAAACAAATAAGCCCCACCCCTCCCCACCCACTTCATTCTAATAGATGCATCCAGATCCATAAGCCCCACACCTCTCCACCCACTTCATTATGATAGGCTGCATCCAGACACATAAGCCCCACCCTTCTCTGCCCACTTCACTCTAATAGACTGCTCCACCCCCTGCCTGGCCACTTCACCCTCATAGGCTGCATTCAAATTCCTAATCCCTGCCCCCTGCCTGCCCACTTTTCTGATAGGCTGCACCTTCAATTATATATGTGTTTTCTGTGCACCTCCTTCATGCAAATTTTAAAAATGTGCATAAAGATTCAGAATATAAAAGCAAGAATTTTTTTTTAAAAATTGCCTAAATATCATAAAAAACTAGGATCAGGTTGAAAAGTTTATTAAAAAAGCAGAAGCGTGAAAAACTTCTTGTTTCGTGCCATTCAGCGCAGGCATATCACACCTTTCTCGGGAATTTCCACAAAACAGCAGCTGATTGAAACACTGATTAAATCACATACTCTTTGATGGACTTGGCTTAAAATTCGCTTAATGTTTCAATGGAAACCCAACAATAGACAGAAAATGAGAGATGCTCTGAAAGAGTGAGAGGTAAACTATGGATCAGAATCTGTGCCAGATTGAAAAGCAGTCACTACAGTGGAAAAACGTAAAATGCAGTGCAACCATGATGTTACTGTTCCTTAGTGAGATGTAGAACGTGAGCCAAAATGAAAAACAAACTCAAATTCCCTGTTTCTTTATCTGTTTTTGTATCTTTGTGATAATCCAGCACAGAATTACGGTTCAAACATTTCCTGAATCTGTAGAGTCGCCCTTTCCATTCCATCTTATCATGAGATTGTATGTGTTTCACATCCGGAGTTATGAGGCTATGAAGAGGGGCTGAGATACATGTTGTCTGCCTCTCACTGTGTGGATCTGGTGGATTTGTGTGTCCATTTACATTCTGTGTGAAACTGACCAATGGACACTCAGGACATCACTACGGATTGACCCGTCACACCAGAAACCCTTCATTCTTCATTCAGTCCACATCGGAGACACATGTGAAATGGTGTGCAGAGAGTTTACAGCTGCTGAAGTTGCTGCAGTAGTAGTAGGAAGGTAGTGATGAAGATGATGGAGCATTTTGATATGAAACATATGAGGATCATGTTATATGAAGAGCCTTTAAAGAAGAATTCAAGAAGAGATGAACAATTTGAGAAACCCCTCAGAGGGGTTTAAAAAACATTAAATCAGTGTAATGGATCTTTTACTTTTCCATATGTTACTGTTTAAAGGCAATCTCATGTGTTTACTGCATTATACTGTTTTGGCTGCATTTTAATGAGGCAAATAAATTTGAAGTGCAAAATAGAGGTGAAATCAGTGTAATAGAGGGTTAGTTTTTCATTCTAGCTTGTATTCTGTGTCTCAATATGTACTGTGATGTGTGCATTGCATTTCACATTTTTCCACTGTAGTGACGGCTTTTCAATTTGGCACAAATTCCTCTCCATGCTAAAGGACAGGTAAATGGTATGTAAATGGTATGTTTCAAAGGAGAGACATCCTCTGTGTAGCTGATTAATGTTACATGGTTTCATAACCATCATCATCATCAAGCAGTTAAGAGGGGGTATAGAACTGAATACATGTCCTGTTGCAGTTCATCTGTGAATTCCCTGCTCAAAAATCCAGGTCATTGACCTTCAACAATGCTAATTCTCCAGCGTTGTCCCTCAGTGTTCTACTCTGCTTGAAGAATGAGCCCTAAGATTAAAGATCAAAGATCTTAAAGATCCAGCTCTTAGTGTTCTACGTATTTTAGACTCAAAAGAAAGAAAAAGCAAAGAAAAGACCTTAAAGGAGCATTTCACATTTTTCTTATCTAAATTTCTGGGTAATTAAACATAAATGTTCATTTAGAGTGATTTGGTGTGAAATGCTGTTCTAGGGCTGCACAGTTATGGCAAAATTCATAATCATGATTATTTTGGTCAGTATTGAGATCGCGATTATGCTCAGTGACTTTGGAAACAAATTTTTTGAACCACTTCCACAACCTACAGAAAACTACTTAATATATATATATATATATATATATATATATATATATATATATATATATATATAAGTAATAAATAAAATAAATTAGACCAAAATAAAGTAAGTTTGGGCTTGTAGGAAAGGGCACTGTAAAGGAAAGGGGTGCACTGGATTTATAACACAAGACAGAACGAGAGCATCACTGTGAAACAGAATGCGGCACAATCATTTTTTATCTCGATTATATTGTTTTCATAACTGTTGGAAGCCAAAGTCGTAATTGAAAATAAAAATCGGTGAATCGCTCAGCCCTACTTCACTCTAGAGAAACTTACCATTCTTACATGTTCTTACACTATCTAATGTTCACAGTGTTAAAGGGGAAGTCCACCAATTTTTCAAAATTTCTAAGCAATTAGAGAAACTAGAGTCAGAATTGTTCACAGTGGTGGTGATAGGAACCAGACGTCCACTTCTAAAAGCTCCCTCACTGAATCTGCTAATTTATTATTATTATTATTATTATTATTATTATTGTTGTTGTTGTTGTTGTTGTTGTTGTTATTATTATAGTTGAAAACATGTATAAACAAATATAGTCATATTATGTTATTATAAAATATATTGTGTAGTTTACATAGTTATATATTATGTATTATTATTATGGTTATGATCATTATTATTATTATAGATTATTCTCAATTACTGGACTAATTGAGAGGCCTAAACTACAAAGAAATTTTGTAAAAATTGGTGGAATTCCTCTTCAAGAACGCAAAAGAGTTGAAGGCAGTTTGTGAAGATTCAGGCTCGTGTAAGTGTGGTGATGGCGGAGGTTAAGACAGCAATGTTACTGTAGAGAGAGAGGGAGAAAGAATTAAGAGTCAGAAAAAAAGAGAGAGAGAGTCGGTCAGATAAAGAGATGAAGAGATAAAGAGAGAGAGAGAGTGATTGGAAAAGAAGACGATGAGGAGCGAGAGCAGCAGGT